AGTACGCGGGGTTAAGTCAAAGCACGAATTAGTGATGGAGACGTGGGGTTATGCGTTGAAATCATTCACCGACTGTTTGTTTGAGTATATGGCCCACAGAGAAGTATATCGACACAATGACAGTCATTGTGGGAAACAGTGGTTAAGTAAGACGGACAGAGAGACATACGGAGAGAAAAGATGTAGAACCTGCCAGTTCTCCAGCAATCAGTTTGAGATAGCATGAGAGAGAGAGAGAGAGAGAGGAGGAGGAGGAGGAGGGGGAGGTTAGGAAGAAGGAGGAGGAGGAGGGCGGAGGAGGAAGAGGAGGAAGCAGACGGGATGAGTATTTATCAAAGGGTACTAGTAGTGTAGGCTTCAAAATTAGGTCAAGTTCAATAAATAATAAAGGACAAAAACTGGGTCACTTACAGTAAAAACAATGAGGACATCTTAGTTAAGAAGTGAGCCCTTCAGATGCTCCAGAGAAGTACTTACAAGCTGGACATAATGACCACATTTTTTCTTTATAATTAGAGAGGGTTTTCCTAGCCCTGAAACGTCTTTTGGCATGGCTTTTACCTGCAAGTACGAATTGAAAGTAAATGTACCAGCAATACTTTAGAAACGACGGATAATTTTTTCAGAGGCCTGCGAAAAGAGTACTTAATGTTAAGGTATCTGTCCTAATACCTACCCCCCCCCCCCACCCTCTCTGCAGGAAAAAAAGTCCAGGGTATACCCCCTCCCCACGCTCACATCGTCTAAAAAACAAAACAACAACAGCAACAACAACAGCAACAACAATAACAACAATAACAACAACAACAACAACAACAACAATAACTACAACAACAAACCCTGAAGGATAAAAAAGTGACCAATGCAAAACAAAAGAAACAAAGGAAAAAGTAGTCCGATATTTTAACTGACATGCCTCGTGTTTTTGCTTTTTCAGTGTACGTGTTCCTTGGTGTTCACGAGTCCTTGTTACTGTTCATTCGTAAGCTGCGAGAGATTCTCGTCGACAAGAGGGGACAATATGCGGTCATTGCAGTGGACGACTCAAAGGTGGATTACAAGCTCGAATATTTCTATCTGAGTGAGTATCACCAGGCATAAAAAAAAAATGCACCCATTCTTACTAAAATGTAATGAGCTGAACTAGAGCGATGAGCTATATACATTACTTTCTTTAATATTTTGATAACTAAAAAAGTCAAATACCCTACTTCCTCGGTGGTACTTCTAACTTTGCTATCGTTAAACTGTAAGGAAGAGGACTGGTGATTTCTTTCTGTTTCCTTATATTTCTTGTAACCAGAACCTCACGCATAATGCCAAGTTAAGATACTCGTCCCAACCCCTTTCCTGGCTGAATTCCAGAATACAGGCACAGAAAACAAAACACAACATGATAATATCAAGTTATGTGACTACATTATAATGGTGAAGCCTTTCACGCAGTTTCAGTACATGAATGAGAGGTTTTTCCTCCATCCTACATTCTACTGCCATGAATACCAACGTATTCCAACAGTTATATTTTCAGGTTGCACACTTAATTCTTACACAAAACGTATTTGCAAATAGAAGAATGCTGGAGGGCTATCACAATGTTTAGATAGTTATTTGTATTCATAGATGCTGCAACAGGTTACACAATAGAGGCACAACATTGCCGATACCATATAAACCCGGAATGCATAGTGACAGGGAAAGGAAGGCCACAAAATCTTTCATAATGCCTCCCCTCAGACTCATTCTCTGTGTCTGTTATGCGTATGCACTAGAGCACTTTGGGTGCACCTGTGAAAGTGTGTATGACAATAAAACACACGCTTATTGTTCTATTATACAGACTCATGAGTGGGGTGCCTTTTCGTATGAACACAGTTTAAATCAATGAAAGAACACATCTAACTTGTCCCTGGCCATTATTTACGTTTTAATGATACTTCTTTGATATATCTTTTTGTCTTTTATCTGAGCACCTGGTCGACTTGACACCACGATTCCACTTATTGCCGCTAAACAATGTTTCCCCTTAACTCATACTTGTTTTTTCTTACCTAGGCATTGTTTTCGATCGTCATGGTAATTATACGTTCAGAAAGACCTATCTATTTTTCTTTTATCGGATTTTTATAACTGTCAAAAGGTTTTCATAAATAGTGAAACCGACGTTTTCAAAGAATAGTGCTTACGGAACAGTTTTCTTCATACTCAATGTGTCACTAGCAGTGCGTAGAGTTCGTGGTTTAAGTTGAGTCCAACATTTTTGATGTTTTGACCCCGGCTTTTGTCGGATTCCACAAACTACAAATTGTTGCTATGTATCTGTATCTTTTGAGCTGCCTGTCACGACTACTGTCATATTGGTACTCTCAACAATTTGTCCGAATGTAAGCGATATAAAGGACCGAGAACGAATACACAATTTTACAACATACCAACGTATGTCGCCATGCATGTTCCACGATTTGTTGTCCCAAGAAATATGCGTGGGCTGCTCTCTTCCCCTTTTTGCTCATACCTTGCCTTTCTCAGAGGGGATAATAAATGAGTGGGAACGCGTCTTCAGTGCAACGTGCTGGTTCTACGATTTAAACTGAAGGCAATTTCTATTTGTGCACGCTGGACAGTTTGTTCTGAGATATTGAAGTTTCTCACAGTTGAAAATGGGCAACAGATTCAGGATATTTACTATTAACGAGATTAAGTTGGAAGCACATACAGCGCTTTTCTCCATTACAAAGGACAAGTTGGCGTGAAGAACTGCTCCTCCCCTCCACCCTCTTTGGCCGGCCCCACAAAGGACGTTTAGTGAAACGCGTAATATGAAACTTGAAGCAAGAAACGTGAAACTAGAAACATCAGGCAATCACATAGGACCGGCGTGTGGTAAAGTACGAAATGAGAAACACCAATTCCGTAGTAGGCCAACTCGATAGCTCAGTTGACAAAATGTACTCGTCAGATGAAGACACACTGATGATCTTAGTTCTACTGAGAAAGCGCAGAAAAAGAAGAAAGCGCAGCTTATGGTCTCGAGAGCATTTCCTTTTGAGTTTGAGACATACAAGAGGAGAATACACAATTTGTCCCTTGAAGGAAAAGAGGGATGATGAACTCTGTCAATAATTATTATTTGAGAATGTCGTATTGGACACACGACGAACTTAAATCTCTGGTGCTTCCATTTTTACAACCTATTGGGTCCTCTGATCTCTGTTTTTGTAGTCTCGATGTGTAGGGTCCCATATCATTGGCTTGGATTGTACTAACTCAATTACTAACTACTTTTTCTATAATCGTCCATTCTGATAGACCTGTGCTTACTTCTTGGTGATACGGCGATCAATGGAGAGCTGGGATAGATGGCCCCAAATTTATATTTGGGTGACTCTTTGTGTCGACATGTAAACTCTTTTGAACTAAGCTTTAAAACCAGTCGTATACTCGTAGACTTTGCTAACTTTGATGCACTGGTGCAGAATATACAGCATATTTTCACAAAATTTTGTTACCCCAGTTTTGTTACCCGCCTAATGAAAACTTCAAAGGAAGCCACCAGCATGACTTGCTTGAGTCCTCGTCTGTGGCCACACGCCACACAAAAAATGAACATGTTCATTTCACCTCAACGTGTGTTAAAACACATTTCACGTTACAATTTTCAAGCCACGTCCTATGTGCAGGCAGCCATTAAAATCTTTGTTGTCATTCTTTGTCACAGGCGTTTCATGTTTCAGACTTCACATTTCTTGTTTCACCAAATGTTCTATGTGAGGCCGGCTTTTCCGGTCCAGATCGAGTGACATGCTTGGCTACACACCATATATTGTTGTTGCTCTGTATCACCATGTGTAATTTTTAAATGTAGGCCGGTAGTGTCATTCTAATTTTTAAATTAGTGGGACTCCCCCCCTCCCCCCGCATGAAGAAATCCAAAGAAAAAACAACAACAAACAAACAAAAAGAAAACAACAACGAAATGAACCCACTTCTCCGAGATGTAGGGGTGTGGCAAATTCTCGAAATGGGTCTAGACTATCACACTATCACAAAATGACAATGAAAAAGTTACTCGGAGCCAGGTAAAATAAGCTTGCTAAAACCGCTTTAAATTGAGCAATTTCTTACATTTTGCGTGCCCTAAGCAACAAAAACACGCCCCAACGCACACATGCACAAAAATCCACAAATGCACGCAAACACACACAAACACATACACACACACACACACACACTCACACTCACACACACACACACACACGCACACACACACATACACAAACAAACACACACACACAAACACACACCACGCACACTCCCTCACACACACACACACACGCACACACACGCATACACATACACACACACACAAATTCACACCCAACGCACAATATGGTCACTCTGTTTATGCCCGCCCACAAAAAGAAATGCGCTATAAAAGATGATCAAAGTGACAACTGGAGGAAATCCAAACTGTGAAACTTCCAAAAGAGCCCCATCATTGCAACGGCTAAGAAACTAGTATTTATGGAAACGACATTATGCATGGCATATACTGTAATAATATTCATAACTTCTTTTCGATTCCTCATTATCTTTTCCGAATCATCCAAAGAGAAACGTCTTACAAATGTGGTTTGAGACATGAACAGTTGCAACGCTGGCTGACAGCAACCGTGCCTGTCATCGAGTCTTCATTCCCGCGGGAAGCTTGGAAACAAAGTTAACATTTATGAAGGCGTTGTCTTTCCTTCTTGCATATCGCCAAATGTACAGGGGAAATAAAACTGTTGGCGACAAAATCCTCATCCTTTGTCAAGCTGTACATCATTTTTGTTATTTGAAGCAGACTCATTATATCATCGCCTCAGTGGAATGTAGAATAAAATACCAGGATTTATGGGTTCAAAGGCAGGATAAGGCATTATGTCTAATATATTTCAGACAATATTCGTCCGTCCTTTCAATTTACTCGTCTTCCTTGTTTGAAGCACAGAGCCGAGGATGTAGTGTCTCTGGAGGGCATTTTTGTTGTCAGAGAGGGGAGGAAAATCTGGTCGTCAGGTTACATAAAACCTTTATATTTACCATGTGTTTTTGATTAGCATACAATGTTGCAATGCAAGTAAAATGAATTCGGTCTGAAATCTGCAAACCCCGTTTTAGAGTTTTAAAAAAAAAACAGCCCTTGCCAAAAACACTGACACCGTTTTCAATCATGGATGGCCTCTGTCATTTTGGAGGCATGGCAGTTCGAAGATCATAACAGATCAGAAGAATATTCAGTGGTTACACATTCAGTCCCTTTATCAATCATGACGACAATCAAAATCTAAAATGGACCCTCGTTCAAAACTGGAAGTTACGGATGTGCTCCATAACAATTATAGTCGGACCTACTCTAAGGATCATCTTTCCAGGACAATCACCTGTCCAAACGACCACTTTTCAGCTCCCCTTTTGCTATTTACTCTATATTATAAAGCCAGAGGACCTTCTGTCTTTGTGACCATTTATCTCCTCAACAATAGATGGTCAGTCGTCTTAGACAAGTTCTACCTTATATCGTTGCTTCAGGAAGTGACCCCAATCAGCAACTTGAGCTAACTGGCCCAATGTTTCGGAACGCGTGAAATTATCCACGAGACATTTTAGCGGGTTTTGCTGGGATCACGTAAGAAGTCACTTTTGGGATCCATTAATGATGATGAGATGGTAAAAAGGATATAAAGTACACAGCCCATAAGGGGGCCCCCTGAACTTCGAAACGCGAAACATACACTCACACCTAAATAAAAGTGAATGATGAATGAATGAATGAATGAATGAATGTACCTTCATTGATCTCAGGCGAGAAAATTTACATGGACATGTAAATGGGGCGATATCAAGTTCATCAGTGTATTTTCTCCCTCCCCCCATCTGTCTCTGTCTCTGTCTCTGTCTCTGTCTCTGTCTCTCTTTCTCTCTCTCTCTGCCCCCCCCCCCTTTTTCTCCCTTCTCAGAGTGAAGACCATCTAACAGTAACTTTTACTCTTTGCAAGCAGTACTTTGTGGCCAAATCATCTACTTGCTTCATATTCTCAACAAAATACATACATTAATATAGTCTGTTGTAATGAACAGTACCAATGAATTAACTAAATTGTACTTACTTCACTCCTTATTTATCTTTCTCTCGCTCACTAATTCTCCCCCCCCCACCCCCCCCCCCCCCCTCTCTCTCTCTCTCTCTCTCTCTCTCTCTCTCTCTCTCTCTCTCTCTCTCTCTCTCTCTTTCGTGCCACCACAGATAACTCCAAAATCCATCTGCCCCTTTTGGCCCCCGAAGAAAAGAGAAACCCCATCTCGATAAGTGCCAATAAAATGCTTGCTTGGCTGTGAGGGCCATTATAGCTTTATGCTCTTTTGTAAAACGGCCAGTCAATGTCTTGTTGCACTGCATTGGTTATTGCGAACAAACGGTGTCGTTTTACGAGTCTAGATCGCATCGAAGCTGCCACATTCATCTGGGAACTGAAAGGATCATAGTTCCTGTCGGGTGGAGATAATATTTCCCCGGACCCTCATAACGAAGATGGAATATGCGAATAGCAACAGAAGGATAAACTACGCATGGGGGAATCACTGGAAGTGTCTAAATTAGTATTTGTTGCTTGTGAACAGAAGGATAAGAGAAAGACAAAAGGTGCACAGAACATAATATGATTCTTGTAGCAAACTGTAGTAGAACGGCATTTCATTGAGGAATTAAAGACTGCGGGTTTTTACTTCTCAATACAAGTAGAATCTTACATAATGATTCAGCAGAAAGTCATAAGTATGCATGTATAATTTTCTATAGTGTTAATGTCAAAGTCGATCTTACTACGTTACATTTCCGAGTGACATGATATTTCTTGATAGTCCGGTTTTGGGCCCAATGATAAATATTGCTCTCTTAACCCTACCCCTACCCTTACCCCTAACCCTACCCCAACCCCGACCCCTATCTCTACCCCTACCCCTACCCCTCACCCTGCGCTATCTCTTTGATGAGATTATAACAAACGCACAACAATTCGTGGTCAGTTCATTGATGGTTGTTACCCAAAACCTAAGCAAGCAGCTAAACGGTTCAACGACAAACCTCTCAGGGACGTTTCGATAGGTTGGGAACGTTACAAAATAATCAGAATAGAGAATGGTATTGTCAGGGTTTTAATGCAGACCATTAATTTGTGAGGTGGAGCGTCCTACCTAGGTCGTGTCCTATATCTGCTGTGAAAACTTTAAAACAACCCATGTCCAAGAATGGCACGCCGTGGATTCGAACCTGAACGCCATTGTTTTCTTTATTTCCCCACTATTTTCATTAGAAACACCCTCGTGTATTTTGAAATGAAAACGCTGCCTAGTGAGATTTTAAAAAGCCAACAACCAAAAAAGCAATTAAGCAACATAATTTCTACTTATACCATATTGACAAGATGCCTCTGATAGGGCCGTTGTAATATTGTGCTCTTGGTCTCTCTGGCTGGTTTGGTAATTAAACTGACCACCGTGGCACTGTTGGTAAATGAACTTACTTTAAAGGATTTGTGGAAGTTTGGGTTCGATTCCAAAAGAAGTTGGACAGTCTCGTGGGGGGTTGGGGTTGGGGGTGGGGGTGGATATCAAATGTTGTGCCTCTCATTTAACTGCAGCTGATACCGCTGGTTCAGGAAGTTCAGTAATTGTACAAAAACCGAATAACGAAAACTGAAGTGCCAGCTTTCTCTTGATTTCTTGGGGAGGGGGGGGGGGGTAGGAGAGAGGAGGGAGATAATGAATGATAACATCTGAAACTGTAATTTAAGCAGTCATCCATTCTGTGGCTTTTTAAATTTGTCGTTTAAGTAAGAAAACGTCTTTGATGCAAAGTGTTATTAATAATGTGAAAAGCTATTTTTGTTTCCACGCCACTTTGTAGCCTAACTTTTATTTTTCCCAAACCTGTCGTTGTCCCTGGCATTGCACCGCAGCTGTACTGTTCCTGTAGATTACCCACGATTGCGTCACTGTTTTTCTAACATGTGTGTACGTGTACGCGTGTGTTTGTGTGTGTGTTTGTGTGTGTGTGTATTTTGTGTGTGTGTGTGTGTGTGTGTGTGTGTGTGTGTGTGTGTGTGTGTGTGTGTGTGTTAAGATGTTTAGAAGCCAAACCAAGGTGCTAGGACTTTGATTATAAAGATTTATCTTATCCTATCTTATCTTTTGGAAAAATATTTTGATGAACGTAATTCATTCTATATCTTATGATTCTCCTCTCTCCAGCTGGAAAGGAGGCGGCAAAACTTGGTTATATAAAAGCCGAGAAAAAACGGGAACTGGCGGAAGCGTTCCAGAATGTTCTGCTCGTGTGGCCGGAGACGAAAGTCCTGAACGAGGAGACTTTCGAGGTGCAAGTGTATGAAAGGAATACAAAACCGCCCATCAATCTTGTCACCCCACCTACGATCTTAAAAACCAAGGTGAGGTTTTCTGCTGGTTGAAACTTCAAAGAACAACCACACATGGAATTTTAAAACATTCTGTATAGTTGACAAGCTGTTCGACCGTTAAAATCCCAGAAAGTAATGTTTTTAGGGAGTAAGAGTAAACTGTCTCATTCCTTTTTAAGATCGTATTCAATTAATGTCTTGAACATCTAGCTCTCACTGGCAAAATTGAAAGCAAACGGGGCAGGGGTAGGCTCAGAGTAACCTACGTAGGGACCCTAAACAAATGGATAAAGGGGAAAGATCAGGGGAACGTAGATTTTTAAGGAATGAATGGAGAACCATGATCGCCGAAGTCTGTCGCAGATCTGGCACTGGATGATGATGATGATGATGATGATGATACAAGTAATGCTTTTCTTGTTTTTTCCAGACAATTAGAACCATAATTTCGACAATATATTTCTGGGGCACATGCATCTGATACCACAGATTAAGAAACGGATATTTAAATTATTCTTTTAAAATGGGCTTCTCAACAGCTTGCCGACAATTTAAAAAAATGTTCTATCCACTTATCTTGATAATGTAAATCACTGGGAACCGTACGTGAAAATATGCAGTGATAGGGGCTTAATTTCTCAGTCAACTCTGTCACATTCCCAACACACACTGAATTGTAAGACAGCTATTTAACTGTAAAAATATTACACTTTAAGGCATTACTGATTATTATCATCACCGTCTATCCGCAACAGTGATTACTACTAAGATTTGCCCTTCATTTCTTTGCTTTGATGTTCTCAAAAACCTATATTATTATTATTATTATTATTATTATTATTATTATTATTATTATTATTATTATTATTTTTATTATCATTATTATTATTATTTTATTATTATTATTATTATGATAATTAATATTATTTTTATCCCGGTCTTCCCCCGTCAACCACCTGACCAGACTTTCTAAAGTAATCTGCTCTGTGTCTACCCTTGCCTAGTTTGCCGTTAATTTTTACCAGTGAGAGAAAGATATTCAGGGTCTTTATATCGACTCCCTATCACAGAAACTGTATAATATGTTCCTTCCAAATGGTTTTTGTTTGTAAGGGGCCCACGTCGCCTTCCTGAGAAACCACATTTCTGTTCCTTCTGCTTTATTTTCACTGTCTTTGGTAACTTTCCAGCTTTCAGAGGTTTAGAAGGGTTGGCCTATACATAGCTGTTCATTATCTATCAACAAAAGCAATCAGTGGTCGGGATTTGTTATCACAGCCTCAAGTCTTATCAAGTCGCACAACCTTTTCTGCTCAGCATCTATTCCTATTAAACCAACATCAAGGCTTATGTTTTATCGTCAGTATCGCTAACACCAATTCTTACATTCTGTTAGACGTTTTTGACCTCATCTCTTCAGGGTCCTCACCCATGTTCTAATTTTAACCACCCCCGTTTACTCTTCTCCAGTTATGCTTGTAGTCTCGCCTTGAAGCAGTTAAAAAAAAAAAGATTTTTGTCTATGTAGGAACCAAGAGAACAGGTGCCATATTCATTCTTCATGACCAACCCCCCCCCCCCCCCCTAGGAAACCTATGCGTACACGCACCCCCCCCTTCCACATCGACCTTTCTCGATGGAGCTTCACGTTTCTTTCCTATTTTGAACTATTGACACCTGAGATATTTTATTTTTATTCTGCAGCTTGGCATCCCTAACGTGAATGCAGAGCGCGTGGTTATAGGCCTGTTCTAAAATTTTATCGGTAGCGATTCTCAGAGCGCCAAAATAGCAGGCGAACAAGGTTAGATTTGTATAGGCTGGATTAATTCGACTCTTGGCTCCCAGCTTGCCTCTCGGAGACGCGTAATCCTTGTCTATCTCTATGGATTTCCGAAGATCAGGCCTGGGCATTCAGAAGACACGGTTTTGTGAAACAAAAACCCTTTCCAAATGATGAGGTATAATCTCAACCTTGTATGCATAAACGGATTCAGCGCCCGAGCACCAGGGGGTGTGGCGTAATAGCTACGCTCTTCTCTGTCCAACATAGATGAAATGGGTTCGAATTCCGAGTGGAGAAGGTCTGGGTAGGTTCTGACAGGCAGGGTCAAAGCAGCCGTTCTCCTAAAGTATCTACATTGGGTCGATCTGGACACAGAAAATAAAATTTTGAATTTCATAAAAACATGAAATTAAAAAAAAAGACCCCTAGCGAGCCGTTGGATCGATTCTGAGAATTCCCTCTTCCACCAAGATGAGGTACAACTTCCTGGTACACCACACCAGCTTGGCTCATTAGTCCTTGCTTACCCTTCCTTAGACCAGCTCTTTTTTGTGCATAATACCTGTCAACCGAAATTCTTTTCCCGTGGCCAAAAAATGGGTATCAGGACGCTTGATTCTGTGTCGAGTGCTCTCCTTAATCTTAACACGAAATTCCACAATTTATTCTGCTCTCTGCTGTGTGTGAAAGTCGTCGTTTCCAATTGTCTCAATTTCACTCATCTTCTCTTTCTCTCCCTCACTCTCTCTTTTTATGTCCCCCTCTTTCCCTTCTTCGTCCCCCCTCTTCTGTCTGTCTATTAGTCTGCCTGCCAGTCTGTCTGTCTGTCCGTTTGTCTGTCTGTCCGTCTGTCTGTCTGTCTGTCTGTCTGTCTGTCTAACTGTCTGTCTGTCTGTCTGTCTGTCTG